CTGAATGTTCGAGAAATTTTCACAGAAAATTTTCATCCTCCGACAGGATTCGAACCTGTATTCTACACAGAACTGTCATTTAGCTTGACGTGCCTTTACCGATTTGGCCACAGAGGAGCTTTCAGTTAGCAAAGTCGAATATACTGTATTTAAACTTCAATCTTCCATGATTCTCTCACGTACATTCATATCTGCTCATGGTGTATCAAATGTAAACAAATGACGTCACACATTATGAAATGGACAATGTCCGACAATTATTTTAAGACATTTTTATGTTTATACATTCTTTTCATAGATGCAAATATTTAAGTAAATGCTCTGTTTTATAATTAAAATCTATAGATAGATATGTGTGTGTGTTATCATACCGTTCGTTAACATACAACAAAACTCATAGGCCTGTAAATTGCCTATATATGAGTTTTGTTGGGTGTAACAGCAAAAATTGTCCAAATCATGTAACAGCAAAATTGTCCAATTTTTAGGTTAAGCTTTGAACGGTTCTATCTTAGAAATGATTAAAGATATCTTACTGGAATTCTCTGAGGTTATTATAACACCACTGAACTCTACTTTGAGAAATAAAGATGTATAATTACTGCCCAAGCTTAACAGAAGAATCGTGATGAAATCGGTCATAATCGAAAATGACATGTTCATCATTAATTAATCATAGCTAAGAATCGGAATCTCATAAATTTCAAATATATATATGTATATATTATTCCAGGATCATTTTCCAACATATTCAAAGATGTTCTTCGCCCTCCGTAAGCTTATTGTCTGCTCTGGACTAAGAAAGCGCCTCACATATTTCACGTACGATTTCATATTGAAGTTTTTTTTTCACTGTTCTTTGGACTGTCATAGCTGAAACTCATCTCAAGCGTCTTAAGTATCGAGATGGATCCAGTCAAAATGACTATCCCTATTCCTGTTGCAACCTCCTGATCCAGTTTTCCTTTTTTTGTCCCGGCTTTAATAAACTTATTTACCGTTCTTTTCATGGTTCTTGAATGGAATTTAAAGACGGAAGCCAGTGTATGAATGTTAGTACCATTACTGAAGGTCTCAATGATCTTTTTCCTCTCACCATTGCTCAGTTGGGAAGACAGTCGAGCTGACACAAAATGGTTTTTAACCTGTTCTCTTTCTAACTGAATAAGTCAAAGAGTTTTTCAGTGATTCTTACGAAAATTGGTATGAAAATTGTCAAACGTCTTATCTGAAAACCTGGAAAAAGAAACTCAATTAGTTTAGTGTTTTTTTTTTTTTTTAGATATTAAACATTTGGTGGGATGGACAATTATGCTGTAACACGATTTCGACAATTTTGTTGTTACACTCGGTACATATATATTTATTTTTTACATTCAACATCATATTTTATAACATATTTATGTTATAATTTTTTTAAATAAATTATATATATATATATATATATATATATATATATTATGACCTTAAGCGTTATAATTAGTGGGTACACTTGTTTGAATACGCATCCCTTTTTTACAAACAGTGAAATTAATTAAAAGAAAGTTGATCACGTGTTCTGCCCATGCTCAGGTTTCGTTGTGAAAACCTCTTTTCTTTCGCTTCAATTCTTTTAATAATCTGTGAAGAGACTGTCTAGAATCTCTGTAATATCGGAGATTACAGTAATTCCCCATGTATAATACGCATTTTTGTCTAAAAAATAATAAGCAAAATCTGTGGTGCGTAATATACGCAGATACAAAAACTCTTTAAAAATAGCCGTAAAATAAAATAAGAATTATCATAAAACTAAATTAGAATAATATTATTCTATGTTTAAAACCATTTTTTAAAAAATAAAAGTAGGAAACGCTGGCCGTAATGAAATTGAAGAGTGCAATTTATAGGGTTTGATTACCAAACAAGAGGTGCGTATTATGCATGAGTAGATGCATTTTTCCACAATTTTTAGATGTGCGTATTATGGATGAAGGCGTATTATACATGGGGAATTACGGTATATATTATACAGCAGTTCCGTACTCATTTCTTTGCGTCTAATGGTATTTTCCTTTTGCCTTGAACTTAGCCAAATATTGATTTCGAGATCTACGGCAAGCAAATTAAGATATGCGCGTGGGTGTAAGCGCCCGTGCATGTGTATGTTTTCATATGAGAGTGAGAAAGAGAGAGAAAGTGTGTGTGTGTGTGTGTGTGTGTGTGTGTGTGTGTGTGTGTGTGTGTGTGTGTGTGTGTGTGTGTGTGTGTGTGTGTGTGAAGAAATAGATTCTCCAAGAATAAGAGTTCCCTAACCTTTTGCAACTTTGGTTTCATATGTTTGATTCCCGTGGTGCAGTTAATCAATCATTTGAATGCCACCCTATTCCACGTGTCTTAAAAATCGGCAATGGTCTGTGTGTAGTGTCACGTTTTTTTTGTTTTTTTTTTTTTACTGGTTTGTCTTCAATGGAAATATTTTTGTATATTGCCTTAATTTGCTTCCTTTTATTTCCTCTAGACATATGGAGTGCGAAAAATAATAATAATAATAATAATCTCGAAAATGTGGCATATGGGAACAAAATCTCGAAAATGTGGCATATGGGAACATCAACAATCCCTGTTGTAGTTGGAGCCCTAGGACTGGTTGGAAAAGATTGCAGTAGACTAATTGAAGGGACTCCTGGAAGTTCATGCCTCAAGGAGATACAAAAATTGTTCTGACAAGTACAGCCCACACCTTACGAAGGTTTTTTTTTTTTTTTTTTTGTCAGTGGAAAGTGTCATGACGCCATTTCTAACCTTAGGTCCCTGGGCGGGACCCGGAAAGAAATGTAAACTCCAGAAATCAAAGAAAATAAAAATAACAATAATAATAATAATAGACTCATTGAAGGGATACATGGCAGCCCATGCCTTAAAGAAATACAAAAAAAAATGTATTCACAAGTACCAGCTCACACATTACAAAGAGCTTTATCTATGTAAAATGTATGCGATCTTAGGTTTCCGTTTTATACAAAAATGCTGAGTGGAAAATGTCAAGTAACCATTTCTGACCTTAGGTCTCTGGTTGGAACCCGGAAGGAAATATGTATGCAACAGAAATCAGAGGAAATAATAACAACAACAACAACAATAATAATAATAATGTAATGTATATTTGAATATTTTCAAAAAACTAACAAAAGTGCAAGGATCTTGAAGTGGATCTCTCAAAAACGTGCCACCTGAGGACATCAATAATTCCAGTTGTAGTTAGAGCACTCGGATTGATTAGAAAAGGTTCCGATAAACTCACTGAAGGGATCCCTAGTAGCCTAAGCCTTAAAGAAATACAAAAAATTTTACTCACAGGTACAGCTCACAAATTACGAAGAACTTTATCGATGTAAAATGGGAGTGATCTTAGGTTTCCTTTTTATACAAAAAATGACCAGCGGAAAATATCAAGAAGCCATTAGGTCTCTGGAAGGAAATGTGTATACAACAGAAATCAAAGAAGATAATAATAATAATAATAATAATAATAATAATACAACTGAATTCTGTTCCTCGCCAAAGATGGACTATTTAAAACCGCCGACGTGGAACATTACCCAATTAATAATAATAATAATAATAATAATAAAAACACAGAGACAGAACAATGAAAGCTAATCGACAGGACATCGTGATCAGAGACTCAGTAAACTTTCTTACAGACATGGCAATCCCTGCAAATTGTAATGTAGATTTGAAGATCTTTTTAAAAAATTATAAAAATACAAGGATCTTGAAAATGGAAATCTAAAAATGTGGCATATGAGGACATCCATAATTCCAGTTGTAGTTAGAGCACTCGGATTGATTGGAAAAGGTTCCGATAGACTCATTGAAAGGATTCCTAGTCACCCATGCCTTAAATAAATACAAAAAATTACACTCACAAGTATAGCTCACAAATTATGAAGAGCTTTAAAATATGTGATCTTACGTTTTTTTTAATGATCAGTGGAAAATTTTGTGGTGACATTTCTGGCCTTAGGTCTCTGGTTGGGACCCGAAAGGGAATGCGTAAACATCTGAAATGAAAAGAAATAATAATAATAATAATAATAATAATAATATTTGAATATCTTAAAACACTAACAAAAATACAAGGATCTTAACGGGGGAATACCAAAAACGTGCCACACGAGGACATCAATAATTCCAGTTGTAGTTAGAGCACTCGGATTGATTGAAAAAGGTTCCGATAGATTCAATGAAAGGATTCCTGGTAGTCCATGCCTTAAAGAAATACAAAACATTGTACTCACAGGTACAGCTCACATATTACAAAGAGTTTTATCTATGTAAATTTGTGTGTTCTTTTTTTTTGATCAGTGTAAAATAACAAATGATATTTCTAACCTTAGGTGTTGCAACCTAGAAAAGGTTACTGAATGAGGAATAACCAAAACGGAGGTTGGAAATGAAATGATAATCTTTATAACATCAACAAAATACAATACTCGCCAGCGGCGTGAAGTAGGTAAACCACTTCTAGTGGTGGACTACTTAGACACCATATTTCCACTACTTACAATAGTGTTCAACGTATTTATGAGGACTGGAACATACCCATTAGTGTTCATAGGTACGGTATGAGACTCTGGTTGAGACTCGGAAGGAAATGTGTATACGTCTGAAATCAAAGAAAATAATAATAATAATAAACATTTAGATGCAACATCGGATTTAGACCTGGACTCGGGTTGCTAAATTTTTGTATCAAGTATTAGTACACCAGTTACGTATATGCTGCTCCCAGTTTTTCATGCTTAAGCCGAAATAGAAAAGAAAGACATTTCAATGAAAATCCTTTTTTTTATGTGCCGTGTCTCTTCAGGATGTGGGCGAGCTTGGCTCTCCACAACTTCTTATTCTTTTTTGTCGGTCTTATCAATATTTGTCTGTTTACTGTCCCACCGAAACCCTGTTCTGCCATGCATTTACTCAAGATCCGTGAGTAGGTTACTCACTTTTTCCTCTTG